ACTTCACAAAGTTATTAGATCTCAGGAGGACAAATATCTTTCAGAACGAGTTCAATTCACTAGATCTACCCGATCAATTAACTTACTTAGCATGAAATACAGTTGCGTGGTATCTCAACGTCAGTTCTTTGTTTTTGCTGTTCGTCTTTGGAACGCTCTCACGCAAAGGATAAAAAGAATTCGAAGTATGTTGAGCCTTAGAAACGAACTCCTCCATCACTTTGCTTAATCTATTAATTGCTAATCTGCACGCTTATTATTTTATTTCAAATATTGAAAATACTACTTTCTCTTTAATAAAATCCCTAGCCCTTAACGTTATTAACTTGTTTAGAGAGAAAAGGACAGCGTTAATGTTTTAATTAAGACGTTATTATTATGCTTTATTTCTTAGAAATATGTTCAAGCATTAACAAATAAATAAATAAAATAAATAAATAACCCAGGTAAACGAACTTTCCACGCTAGAATGTTCTTTCTAGCTGTACCCAGATACATATTCTAACTCGTCTTCCTTTAGAATATCGTAGCTCTTGGAGCGATCGGTATTAAACGCCTCAATGAAGTGTGCATCGATTCTTTCTCCTTCCGCGTCATCGATGTGAAGATTATCGTAGCCATTTAGTAAACCTTTTTAGCGAATGGAACTAAAAAAGGGCTCTAATACATCCTGATTTAGCCGCCAAGTTATAACGTATTCCACATTTGAATTTTTCATGGGGTATTAGCTTTATTCGTTCATCCTACTCAATACCTCGAGTTTTGCCGAAAGAGCGATACCGAATCGTTAATAAATGATAAAAAAACTAAAAGAAACCAAGTTACCTTTCCCGGATAGTCAAAAGTACAAATAGAAGAATTAAAGACATCGACCCAATCGTTTGCCAGTTGAATGAAGTCTGCCGTCTCGGTAGGCGTATAAAGTTCGAAGCCGAAAGACATTGGCCATTGTATATGACATACAGATGATTTTTTTTCACATTTCCACAAAAATCCACTACCAAGAAAGTGATTGTTCCTCAAAAGCTTTAAAAGGTGGGGCGCATCGGCAAACACAAAAACTTTCACGTTCTCGTCTCTAGGTAAACGGAATCATGGCTTATCTGAAAGTGGTTCAAAATAAAACGTGGTTGTATAATAAAAGAAGTAGTAGCTAGCTTAATATAGTGTTATCTTACCGATAGTGGCCTCTAATTCTTTCCACAGCTTGCGATTGGATGAACTTATATCAAAAACTATCGCTAACACTACCAATGTTTTTTAGTGCAAATAATATAGATAATGTTGTATTTGTCATACTGGTATCGAAGTCGTGGCTGCTTCCACGACTTTCGTAACCCACGTGCCATCACAATTTGCACATAATTGGATGGTTTCCAGACATAGTTTTCTTGCAGATAGTGTTCGTATGTCTCGACGACTTTCATTTCGTCGAAAATAAGAACACAGATTTCATCGTCACTGGAAAGCTCTGACATGCGTTTCATACTGTCAACAAATACAGTCAGGAGACCCTCGCTAACATCGGTTTTACAAAATTAAGGTTGTAACGTAGAACCGCGGGGATGCGGAAATCTTTACTATATACTATGTGAGCGGTTATATGCCCGTGGCCCTGCTGCGTGTATATTTCATTCGACATATCCTTCCAAGACCTGCTTAAAATATTCTATAATAATATATAAATATTTAACAGTTAACAGATACCTGGAATAACCATTTTCCCCATTTGTTCTTCGGTAAATAGTTCCTTAAAATTATTTATGACAATACCTGATTTCCTAACTTATTTTGTAGTATTTTAATTTCTGCTTGATATCTTTTTACTTCTTTCCGCACTATAGTTTGTGCGAACGAATTTTAGTTTTTGATCAGCACACATTTATGAAATAATAGCATTTGCCACATGAGGACTGGTAATATCGATCCTAATTCAAACATTAAATTTGAGTAGTTCTAAATTAATTGAATACTTAACATTATCAAACTATGAACACGCTGGTAGTCTGGTCAAAGTCCATTTGCAAGTTGGTAAAGTAAAAAGAAAGACATTCATATATGTATATATTTGTATTTCATTTGTTGTTGAGAATCCAATTTTCCTGGCTTATACTTTGGCAATCAAATTTTAAATATAGAGTAGTGACTGCAAAATAGAAGCAGGTTGGTTCATAGAAATTAGACAATTGCTCCCGACGTATTCCTGATCCGTGGGAAACAAAATAAATTGTTGAGAGAAACCTCAAATAAAAAGGCAAGGATGTCTTCTTTCTAAGAAAAAAGTGAACATCTACTCCCTTGACATACATTAAATGGTCATTTTGTTCTCATAAAACTTCTTAACGTGCGTCTTTTTGCAGGTAATATGAATAAAATGCGAAAATGAGTTTGAAATTATTTTCCTTATTAGCCGGAAATGTTAATTGAACACTTAAGCATAATTGTTGTTTTTGTAGCAACTTCATCAACCTCGCTTATGGACAGGTTAATTCATCTAAGTCACCGAGGTCCTTCAGGAAACGTGCTGTTTCGACGGGATCGGACTGCAAAACCACCTAATAGCACCTTTTGGCAAAAGTAACTCCATTTTGGATTTCAATGCCGATATTGTTGATAGTGTAGATGCTGGCACTTAGGTATAAAAGTTTATCTATAACTTTAAAGTTATAACTTTCAACATAGGGGCCGAGACGCGAATGCATTGATTGTTTGTTTTATGACAGGAGGTATGGTTTTCCCTCCTATTTATGGACTGGTTTTAAAGGTCGGACATATGAACATAATTCCATCCGGTCATGTTTTGCAAAGAAACTGAGTCCATTGTTAATCTTTCGGCTGTGGCGTCTTTTTATTCTTCAAGCGGTTATTGCGAACTTTTTAAAATTGGTCACCAATTGATGATCTTGAAACCTTCTACCATTATTTTCATAATCGCAAATTTCGATCTTTTTCTGATTGCGAACGCGTGTTGCTTCTCTTAACCCTCGATAACTATCCCAAACACACATACGTGGTCGATGTCCTATGTACTGGGAAACTTAACTCTTACTAAACCATACTCTATTCCGACATATGAGAAGTAAGTGTTCTCTAAAATCTTTTCATCTAACACACATTTGTATTTGGTTTTCACCCGTAATCCCGAATTATCCAGTTACTACAAAAACAACATAATCCATAATAGGGGAGGAGATATTTGTGTAATACTGGGCGAGTGATATTTCCGGCGACCTAATCCCGTTTAGGTCAACAGGTCCCCTCGTAGCGGGGCTGCTCCAAATCCTTCTCATCAGGGCTGGCGTCGAAACTAACCCTAGTCCGACGAATTATTTCTGCTGCGTATGTCAAAAAAAGACTCCACCACTCCTACGCCTCGGTTAGATGCAATGGTTGGAATCATGTTAAGATCTGTTCAAGCCTTAGGACCCACAGGGAGTGATCCACAAGTCACGTGGCCAGCGCAGCGCTTGATTTCTTCAAGGAGGAGTTTCAGTGGGTCATTGGGAAGGCAAAAGCCTCCAAACCCATCTGACCCGACGATATAAGCATGCTGAAGCTAAGACATCTTGGTCCAGCGTGAGCAGACTTTCTAACCAATGTCCTCAATTCGTCTTTGGCCACACTAATGATATCCAATGAGTGGAAAATGGATAGGGTGGTCCCGCTACTCAAACCTGGGAAACCCTGTAGCGAAGAGACTTGATGCCTTACTGCTTCCGATTTTCATTAACAATCTGCGTCTAGCTGTTAGTATTAGATCCGTCATAAGTTGTTGACACCGTCAATCATTCAGTGCTACTATAGGACATGGAGGCATCCTCATTACCGGGGTAGCAGAGGTGGATCAGGCGTTACCTGAGTGGTCGTAAATCCTCGGTAATATTTCGAGGTGAAACATCTAAACTAAGGAAAATTAGACAAAGGGCTCCGCAGGACGGTGCTCTCTATTGTTGGAGCGGTTCGCTAACCCCGCTTAGGCACAGGTTTGATCAGTCTAAGTCGCCGAGGTCGCCTGTCGCGGAGACTCTCCACATGCAGGGCTTACGTTGGGTATGCTTGGGTCTAGTCTGGCTAAGTAGGAATTTAACCTGCCACAATATCCAGACCTAAGTTGTGTCAGGGGTTTTTTTTAGCTGCTGGGTAGCCCTCGCACAGGGGGAGGATGAGGAGCTGGTTGTAGGTAGGGATGGGGGTGGAGGTTGGAGGGAATCATGTTGTGGGGAGCTCCATGAGACCGTAGAGGTCTTTTGATTACCCAGAGTGGGTAATGGTGCTGAAGGCACTGACGCGAAACCTACAAAGCAATTGGTCGCCCGATTGCTGTTGTTGTTATTACAGCTTATGACAGCTTTAATCAGCATGGCCAATGGGTAAGCAATGAGCTATGGCAAAACTGAGATAAATTATTAAAAACAGAGTATTTCGTCGAAGTAATCAGCTGGAAACACGTGAAAAAACTGTCATTGGTGGATTCACAACGGTTCATGAATTTTCATATCCAAAATGTATAAGGTTTTTTTGCTTTATTGTTGTAGATGATTGCTTAATGCTTGTTGCCTTAGCTTCTGACTGTTTTTTCAATTTTGTTTTACCCCTTCAAATTTTAATTAATTTCCATACAAGTATACACAGATATACTGTAACTATCGCTTTATAATCGCTTAAATGGTCTTTGGGATCGGATGTTTAGCGTACTGTTTATTTCCATGCTTGTTTAGGCCTCGAGCCCACAACCGCCTGGCTCAAAGCGCACACTACAACCCATACGTCTTTTTTCGACTAAAATGGTAATTATGTACTTGACATTTTTTACTCGGTCAAAGAAAATAGTTCAAATTCGACTAAACGTTAATACATTGCTAATAAAATTTGGGCACTAGCTCAGCTTCAAAGATTACATTCAATCAGAATCTAAATATGAATTTTACAAAACGAACCAACTACAATCGCCTTGATTCTATCGACAATTATAGTTTAAAATTTTTTATAAAACGATACACTTTGGATATTTTGTAGTTATTTTATTCCAAATTCTAAAAAAAATTACTTTTTGGATTTTTTCACATCTTTACCAGCATCATCTACATTATCAGCATTCTCCTTTGCACGTTTAGCACGAATACCAACCAATCGAGCATCAGAACGAGCCTGCAATAAAAATAATTTATGAATAAATTAGCGAAACTATAAATGCATAATAAATTCTAATCTTCAACTTTCGCTAACATACCTTGCGTAAAGTGGCGAATGCCTTGAATTTCTGCTCGTCTTTGGCAATCTCACGGTATTCAATGACTGGTTGTTCTTTCTTTATTGGCATAACTGTTCCCTTCAATTGGGTAGCCAGTTTGCATTCTTCCAATGTAGATTCTCCCTTGCGGATCTTCTTCTCATTTATTGGGAATAGAATCAATTTGCTCTTATATTCCTTCAAACGTTGCACATTACGTTGGCGTGATTCAAGAGACTTATTTTTACGTCTCTTATCAACTGCAATACCAATGGTTCTGGCGAAGCCGTAAGTCAAACCAGCACCCTATAAACACAAACAATATGAATTTAAAAAAACTTCTAATAAGTTTCTTGTCATTTTATAATACCTTCAATTCCTCAAGAGTAAAACCGCGTCCAGCACGCAATTTCGTGTGATAACGGATAGTTGGGCAACGCACTACGGGACGCAATGCTTGTGCTGGGCGTGGGAAGACAGCTTTAGCCTTCTTGACGCGATTTTGGCGTCTGCGGAACTTGCGAGCAGGTTGATTGAACCAAGTCTTAACATTGCGTTGCCACCACTTATGGAAGTGAGCATTTGGAATCATATTATTTCCCTTACCCATTTTGGATGTTTATTCTGAAAAAAAATACAAGAATGAATTAGATCAAAGGGGAAAGATATAATTTTTCTTGGTTATGCCGCAGACAACAGTTCACCACGTGGCCTTATAAATTCTGCCAATTATCAACACATGTAAATATAGGCCAGTATTTGTCATTTAGAATGCATGAGAGGGGTGAACTTAAGTCGGTTGCGTACAATAGCCGAACAATAATTTTCGTATATAAAATAATTTCACAAAAATATATAACATTCACATTTTTACGAACCTCTCGTACCCAACAACGAATTAAAAAGGAGAAGTGCAACCAACTTCACATCATCACTTCATCGAATACATCGAAATTTGAGCAAATTATCTTTCCGAACAAACCCAATTTTAAACTACAGGGTGCCTTCCTTCCTACCTATTATGCTTTTACCATAATGAGAGATATGTGCCTATTCGAAAGATTAAAACTTTTGCATATAAAATCAAGCGAATTTTAACATATGGAAACTCGAGAATAAAAACTAACGATTTCTTAACTATATTAAAGCGAATTTAAAGAAAGTCAAGTAGCCAAATTACACAAACAAAATACATGAGAAATAGGAAAATACTTTGAACGATTTTCGTTTTTGACTTTTCGAAACTATATAGAAGATTTGTTTATTGAGACTAAAAGTACAGCAGAGCAAAAAGCATGAACATTTTTCGGGCAACAATTTTCAAATGCTGGGTTTAACTTTTCTGTTGTACACAAAATAGAAAATTTTTACAATTTTTTCATACATAACTTAATAAAATGTGTTATTTTTATCGTCACTTGTGTTAAACATATTTATTGGGGCCCGTGAACATCCCGTATATATTGCCCACTTTCGTTTTCGCGTCTGTCAAAAAAATATTATAGCATGCTCCAAGTTACTCTACCAAAAACATAATTGTTTATTTCAGGTCTCGACATCATTTGCAATATCAAAAAACTCGATAATTAATGTTTTTCATGTTAGGTTAATGTGTTTTAATTTGTCATAAAAATTGAAAATTCTAAATAATCAAATGTTATCATAGATCGAAAAAAGTATATATATATATATAATAGCAGCTTTCTAACCGCTGTGAAATGTATGAGGATTTCCTATTTGATGTCAGAAATAAACTGCCTTGGCATTCCCTGCCGAGGTGCGATCGCTTATCGATCGATATTAATTTCAAAGGGTTTTAAATGTTTGTCCAGATATCGAACCCTGGCCTTCCGAATGTTAATACGCAATGCTAGCCACTCAGATATTGCGGCCGATGTAGAAAACTGCCTATGGCGTATTGTAGAAACAATAAAGTAAGCCAATTGCCTTTTTATTTGGCTTCATTCTTTGTAAGATTATCAGTTGTCAAATTTTCCATGCAACTCTGCACTTAAAACTAGAAAATTGGTTGAATTACAACTGCTATTACAAAAACTGCTACTGTAAAATGGATCGGGAAATTATCTAAGTATATAAAAATAATATAACATAAATAACATCCAAAAGTTATACAGAATTAATTATAAAATTAAGTTAAATTCTCTAATTGTGATCGTCCCTCTGCAGGGAATGTCAACCTCCGAGTGCATTTATGACATGAAATAAAGGCTCCTCTTAAAAAAACATCAGCCGTTCGGAGGTGGCCCAGGTAAAATCGTTTCGAAAGGGATTGAACTCGATACATATTGTCTTTCAGCCGAATTGCTCTGCCGCCTTGAAGTCAATGTTCTTCTTTATTTAGGATAAGAAAGCAGCACTAGGCTACCACACGTCTTTCTGACATTTCCGTAAGTTTAAGAGCGGCATTGGTGACGTAGGAGACGAATCCTTGCCGATGATGAGAAACATTCATTAACGTTCATGTTAACATCTTCATTTAACTATCTTGACAATGAACTAATAATATAAAGCCTATATCCAGTTCTTAGGTAATAAGCAAACTCCATATAAAAAACGCTTAAGTTCATGGTTAAGAAAATTTTTACTGTCATGTTAACTTTGAATGGTATGCTGCTCTCAAGTTAGATAATCAATAACGTCATACCTTCGGCAAAATATATATTGTCACGATTTTACTAAATCAACCTCGATTATTTTTTAGATACTTCGGGTACGATCTCTGGATTGTTAAATAAAAACTCGCCAACTTAATTTGCAGTTTCTTTCGTTATAAAGATTCTATCTAATGTCCTTTATTTTCTCAGTAATTCACAATTCAATTATACTGCACTTTACTATTTATAATCACTAACATCAACTTTCACAATTTACTCTACTTAAATGTAATTCCCAACGCGTTCACTTTACGTCTTCACTGATGTTAACGCCAACCAATTTGCTTTGTCACTGCTTGACTTGCAGCTGAGTGTCGCCTTTATATAGCAGTCGGCTGCTCGCAGACGAAAGCGTAGAAGCATCGAATTGTTCGCTATGGAAGGTTCTTGTTTTATCGTTTCTAGAACGTACTAGTTATCGGCTTCTCTCTTTCATCTGACATTCGCCTCGCATTTTCGCAACAATATGTATGTATGTCAATAATTTTTTTCTTAAGGAAAGTCAAGTAACGTCTTTTCAGAAATGGAGTTCACCAAGTTTTCGAAGCAAAATTTTAAACGCCAAAAGCGCATCACTAATTTTTCTGCGGAGCAAAAGCACAAATTAGTAGCTGAGGTGAAGGCATGGCCCAGAATTTGGGACTTGGCAGATAGCTTTCATAGTAATCTAAATATATATAAATAATAATTAAGCACCTCTTTGTATACATCTTGCAGATATTTTTTACTATTTTCTCTACAAATTAAATTTACTTTGATATTTTTCACCAGGTGATTGCGGTAGGATACCCTGCATGAACGAGCTGATGGGTTCACAAATACAATCACACGATTTCGGTCAGCACCGACTCATAAGTTCGAGTTTACACGGGGACACTTTTTGTCGCCGAAACACCGTGTCGCTGTGCTCGTTGGACACGCTTTGCGCTTCTATTCGTCTCAGATGATTTTGCCACTTTTGAACTCGTTGTAGCTGTCTTAAATTTTAAATTAATGTATGCCTTAAATTTGGAATTTGAAATTTGTGTTTTTACTACAATATTTATGTATGTGCGTGGAAACATGTATGCCTGTGCGTATATGAATCTAATTATCACAGAAATGGTTCAGATAATGGAGTTTGCAGCTAAAGTTGAACTAATGCAAGAAATATTAGAGAGTATTGCACCTGCCTCTAGCTAGGGCCAACTTTAAGCAGTCTTCTATTATTTTTTCCGAAGTTCTTACTACGATTCTGCCATTTCGACTTTTATTCTGAGTTGCTTTTATAAAATTCTATAATGCATCAAAATGATAGTTATATAATAACTATCAATTCAAAATTTGTTAAATATTAAATGTTGTATAAGTTTTGTATTTTCATTCAATATTAATGCGATTGGACTACCTGTAGTGATTGCTTGTATGTAATAACATAGGACATTGTTAAATACTTCTGTATATCCGGTTTTGCTGATTTTTTATTTGTTGCAAAGTTATTTATTTTCTATGCTATATATACCATATAACTGGTCTATGTAAAAACATTGGAATAAAAACTGAATTTTAATAATTTTTGTATGTCTGAATAGATGTAGGGAGAACTTCTTGTCAAAGCTGATTTCCTTCGGCATAAATGCTGTCACTCATCTGTGTTCGGCTTGTGTTTTTTTTTAAGCCAATATAGTTTTCTTTTGGTATCAATACTGTTACGATTTTACTAAATCAACCTCGATGATTTCCTAAATCCTTCGGGTACGATTTCTGGATTGTTAAATAAAACTCGCCAACTTAATTTGCAGTTTCTTTCGTTACAAAGAATTTATCTAATGTCCTTTATTTACTC